GCATCTAAATTCGCCGGTCGGCTCGCAGACGGCTGTGCAACCGAGCACGCAGCACGGGCGGCGGCTTCCAGCAGGCGCGTTTCCTAGCTGCTGCGGAAAACTTCGTGTAGAAGTTCCGCATCACATCGATGGAAGACCAGCCGCCCTGGCCCTGCACAAGCTCTTCGGGCAGGGACGCTGCGTTCTTCCACCACTGCGCCCCGCCTTTCCGCAGGGAGTGGCTGCCCACCTGTGCGTCGTTGAGGTGACGAGCGAGCATGCGCCGGAATGTGTCGGCGGAAACAGGCTTGAGATCGGCCACCCCTGTCACACAGAAGAAAAAACCCTCGACGTCCCCGCGCGTCTCGGCTCGTAGACGTAGCCAGCTCCGCAGCAACTTCGTCGGACACAGCGGCCCCAAAGCCTGGATCTCGGGCACCCAGACGAGCAGACCTTCACCGAACGGATCGTTCTTCTGCCTCCTGATCCTGAACTGGAACGCTGTGTCTTGGTCCACCACGTCAGACACCAGGAGCGCCTGCAGCTCCGCAAAGCGCCGGATGCCGAAAAAAGCCAAAGCTATCATGGCCGCATCCCTCACGCCAGCGACAGAAGTCTGTGCCAGGCGACTCCGCTGCACTGATGTGATCTCCAACAGCGAGAGCGGTCTTTTCGCTCGGCGGAGCGAATGATCAGCCAGCTTCTTAAGACCACGCCAGAAATGCCAGGCTCGGGGGGTCCACGCGGCCTCGAAGGACTGCAGCAAATCACGCTCGAGGTGCCAAGCCCTGACTGCAGCTTCGGCGGCGCACACTGAGCCCCACGGGCGCCGGAGAAACCCCGAGAAGAGCAACATCAGCTTGACTTCGTTGTCGCAAGGCAGAAGTGCCATCTGGGTGGACGATTCCGCACCGCTCACCGCGCCGCGGAGCGTGTTGTCGTAGCGCGTCCTGGTGCTGTCCTCCCACGCCGCGTTGAAGCACGCGTGGATGTCCGCCGCTGCCTTCCGGCGTGCCTCCAGCGTGGCCGGCGCGCAGTCTTCGGACAGGAAGGGCAAGGTTGGGCGCGGGCCTTGGAGTCGCCGATCGCCCAGCCGGTCGGGGGGCACGAGCGGGCCGCCCTGCGCCGCACGGCTACTGGCCAAGAAAGCCAAAAGACCCTGAGAGCCGACAGCAGGCGCCTGCGGCGAACGCCCTGGCGGCGGGGCAGAATGTGGAGCGGGCCCCGCTGCAAGGGCACCACGTGGCCTCATCAAAGGGGCTGGCTCTTTCGGAACAGCGGGGACGGGGGCGACGCTGCTGTCAGCGGATCCCGCGGCATTCTTTCCGAAATCGCTTCTGTGAACGTAATCCTCCATGTTTGAGCCGACGTGGCTACGGAACAGAGGCTCAAGTAGCGTGGGCAGACACCACTGTCAGAAAGGCGAGCTTCGGCTAGCCGGGCCTGCGACATGAGCGGACACCCCATAGAGGCAAGAAAAATTTTCATCGCCAAAGCGGGCTGGGCACGACACGCCGCGGCACCGCTGTCAGTGGCACACGCAATGGTGTTTCGCAAACGATTGCGCGGACTGCGCAACGCAGTCCGCGGCCGCCTAGCAGCTACGCCCAGATACGCAACGAAAGCTGCTGAAGGCAGGAGACTGGGACCTGGCAACAGCTACGTCCAGGTACTCAACGGTAGCCGCCAGGGCCGGGGCCTGGTCTGGAAGACGGAAATCAGTGCTTGCACTCCGCCACCCAGTGTTGCAGGTTGGTGGTCCTGCCGGAGGCCGTGCACTTGGTGCACGGCAAGACGCACAGATTCTTCATCTCTCGGCACTGCTTCAGGGTGTGCTCTTGACCACGCCTTTTCCAGACATCAGACAGTTCTTGCAAGCGTGATCCCTCAGAACCACAGTCATGGCGCTGCGGCTGTCGTCCGCCTGGTACTGCTTGTCAATCCACGACTGGAGTTTGCCGGGGGGCGTCTTTTTCTGCACGAGACCAACGAGCTCCTGGAGCAGGCGGTTCACCAGCTGCTTCCTGTCGCCACTTGGGTTTGGCGAGGCCGAGGCTGCCGGCCCATCGGAGGCGGCGGAGAGCCTGGGAACCTTTGCCGGCGGTGGAGTGTCACACGTAGCTGCCTGAGTGCCCGAAGAAGCCGGCGCCTCACGCGAACGTGACACTGGCCCCCCGAATGCCGCCGCCGCCTCGCCCAGGATGATGTCCTGCGCAAAATCCCGGAGCAGCACCTCGTGCTCAAGGGTGGACGAAGCACTGGTCTTGGTCGTGCGCCGCTTGTATTGCTTGATCGTCTGGTAGATCGTGTCCATCAGCGCTGCCCTCTGGGCGGCAGCTTTCTCAGGGCCATTCTTCTTGGCCGACTGCACGACAGTGCAGCGGCGTTCGATCAGGTTGATCAGCACGAGCAACGAACGTGCTAGCGCCTTCACGTTCTCGAGAGGCGAATCGGATTTCTCCAGGAGGAAATTCTTGAGCTTGTCCCAGGAGCCGCCGTGGGTGCTCAGGCACAGCTTCTTCCAAGAGACCTTCGCCGCACAACGTGCCGTTGTAGCCCGCTTCAACTCCTGAAGCTCCAAATTCGCGGGATTGCTTGCTGAAAGGGCCATGATGTTGGCAAGGACCGGGTTGTGCTCCACCGCCTGCATGGTCCACGAAACCTGGTCCGAGTCGACAACCAGATCGCGCCAGGCGGCAGCCCACTCTGCGACTGTAAGCAGGCGCAGTTTGGCCCTGTAGGGGAAGGTTTCGTCAGCGCGCCGGTCGTACTCGGACTGGATCAGCTGGTAAACCTCGGAATCCTTGTCCTTCAGAGCAGCGGCCACGCAGGCGCAGGCGTGCGAGTTGACAGCGGCGGCAGCACCGGCGGCGATGGCCAGCTCGCCTGGCTGGCCCTGCTCGAACGCCTTCCCGATCTCAGCCAAGATGGCTGAGTGGATCGCACCGGCGGGCTCCAGCGCGGCGGCGATGGCTGCCTGGACTGCGTCGGCCATGGCGACAGGCAGCGCCGGCGGAATACTGGGAAATGTCTCAGGCGAGGACGCCCGCGTGGAGTGCTATGGGTTGCTAGAGACTGATGATGGAAACGCTGCGAGGACTGGCAGCGTTGGCATGACTGCCCGAATGCAGCGACATTCCCAGGGCAGGACCGATTAGAACATCAGCGTGACTGAGATGATTTTTCTAGCGTTTGCGCTTGCGCCGATTAGGCGCCCAGCTCTGAAGAAGCAAGTAAGGCAAGTCAGTTTTCGGACCGCTGCGGAAAGCAGAGCCCGAGTGAAATCTGAATAAATCGGAACCGGCAGGCCACGAGCGCACCCGATGCCAAAGCTGGAATAATTTCGGCCGGAACCATGGGGCCCCTGCGTCTTCTGGACAGAGAAGCACAATCTGAGGTGGATCGGAGCTCCGCAACGCCGAATTCAGAAACTCAAGCGTCGCTTTCAGCAGCTCTCTGGGCGGATGCGCCCAAATGATTTCACCGGACAGGGTGGCTTCGAAGGCGGACAGCTCAGGGGAACGCCAAGAAGGGGCTTTGGCTGTAAGACCCGCCCTGTCAGCAAACAAATCCAAGGTGAAAGACACGCCCGTGCGAGAGAGGATGTCGTGGAAAACCGAATCCTTCACACAAGCTGCGCGGAAAACGTCAGAATTCCACCGGGCGGAAAACTGTACATCGCGAGAGCCGAGGTCGGCCGCCCTGTTCGCCACGCCAGAGATGTGCGCAGCAAGGGCCCAGCAAGAGGCGCGGCGCTCTGCCGCCTCCAGCTTCACGGCAAGCCTTTCAAGAGTTGGAATAGCGCCATAACGCACATTGGTGTAGTGCACCGCGCACGTGTTGTCGGTCCGAAACAGCACGCGCCAGCCGCTAAGGTCCACCTCGTTGTCTTCCACGCACTTGACGATAACCCACAACTCCTTAAAGTTGATGTCAAGTTTGTCGCGCGGCACGCCTTCTTCTTCAGCCAGGTCGGGCGGCCACACACCAGAAACAGATCTGCCAGAATGGCAAAGATGGTAAGACCAACCTGTCTGACCAGAAGCGTCCGTTTCCACGATGCGAATGGAACCTTCTTTGGCCAAGTCGCTCCATCGCTCGTACTCCGGCGACTTGTGTCCCCAGTTGCTGAGTTGATCAGCGAAGTTGTGCAGGACGCGCCTTGGCGGAATGGCCAAAGCGTTCAATCCCCAAGTAAGATTCTTGCGGCTGAGTTCCGTTAGGTGCACTGTAGGGTTTGCCTGGGGGCACTTACTCCAAAGAGAATATACCCCCGCCGCATGCAGATCCGACCAGATGGGGTGCAAGCGACGCCGCGCCTGTGGATATAACTCCCCGAGGTGGGATATCAAGCCGGCTGCAGAGGTGACGTCTTTGGCCCGAAGGTTGCGTTCATTGTCAAGCGCGAGGATATCAACAATGGCACGACATGTTTTGTCGCACTTTTCCTGTGACACGGTGACCACTTGGTCGATAGAATCGAAAATCCAGCCGATCCAACATTGACGCGTGCTGGGCTGCCGAATGCCAGTCGGCTTGCCGCTCACTGGAATCCCAACCTCGGCAAAGAAAGCAACAGCTGATTCCAAACGTGACCACGCCAATTCTTCTGACTCGCCCACGCCGAACAGATCGTCGACGAAATCGAGCAAGTCAACCCCCCGCGAAAGCCGGAGAAGACGAAGAAGTTCCTTCATGTTTGAATCGTTAAACCCAGGCGCAGGTGCAAGACCAAACGGGAGAAACTCGTAACGCCCGTATTGCTGCCGGGCTGGACAGTAAAAACCCAGCAAATCTGCATCCCAGGCCTGCGCGCGTAGAAAGGAACGAAAGAGATGGGGTGGCCGCGAAAACCACATTTCCCGAATGCACAGCCTCCTAAGAAAAAACGCAACGGCCACAGTCACAACTGTTTATGCACCTGGCTCTCCCTCGAGAGTCCCAAAGCCGTGCGGTGGCCCCGGTTCCCCACCGACTCACCACGCGGTGTGGACACCGCACCGGCTGGGGGCCCCCGATGCCTGGCGGGGCTGGCAGGGAGCGAGGTGGCGGCCCGCCCGGGGGCGGCGACGGGCGCGCTGCTGCTGTTCAGGTCCTGGTAAAGCCTCCAGGGGAGCAAGCAAGAAAAAGCTGCACTCGCCATCGCTCGAACGTCCACTCCCCGTGCAGCGTTTGGTTTCGCGCGCGCGTGCTTTCTTCAAGCTGCTCCAGAATTGAAGGCGGTATTCTGGTGCATAAACACAAACTTTCGGAGGTCCGCGCGGAATGCTCGGATCGGCGCTGGACCCCCCCCCCCCCTTCAGAGGAGGCGCCAGGGAGGGCGCAGGATGCGCTGCCAGGTAGGGATGCGCCGCCAGGGGGGCCCCGCGCAGATCCAAGAAATCTGCGCGGAACTCTGCACGCTTACTATGCTTAAACAATTGTTTCGTTTTCAAATCAGGGGGAGAACCATCGACCGTGAATCGGCGATACATCACCGATAGATCGGCAAAATGCCACCGATGGCGGAACCGCACGGTACGCTGCGGGGCGCGCCGATCGACGATCAATGGGCGATTGGGGGTCGATGCGTTCCCCCCCTGGGCCTATCTCCCTCAGTGATCCTCGTCGTCTCGTTTTCGGATCATAAGTCGGGTCTCAGGTGGCCGTTCGGGACGATCCAGGCACCCCCAGAAGGCCGTCAGCGAGGCGCAGCTGCTGAAAGGCACCCTGAGGCTGGAAAATCGCCACGGGCCGACGAAAACGCCTGAAAACCTCGAATCTTCTGAGGCTACGGCAGGTTCGTGTCGTGGCGACTTCGGCGTTGGTGATCGTTCAACCTTGAACGATCGGCCGTTTCCGAAACGTCCGACCGTTCAACAGCGGCCGAATCTGGGTGGCCGGCGGCGTTCAACGCTGAACGCCGGCGGCAGGGTCGCCGCTGGTCGGCACGGCGCGAAACTACCGCACCCCCCCTGACGTTGCCTCCCGACCTCCCGAGCCTCTCCCAGCCCAACGCTGCCCCCGAGAGCCTCTCGCACTTGCTGAGGCTCCGGTGCAGCGTCCCGAGCGCGGCCTGGGCCGCGCTCCTGGCGGGCTCCGGCAGCTCCAGCTCCTCGGCGCATGGCTCCGTCTGGTCGCGCATCGCCAGGGCGGCGCGGACCTGCTGGATGAGGTCCTGCAGCTCGAACAGGCAGCTGAGGCGGGCCTCTGAGAGGAGGAAAAGGCCAAGGTTCGCGGAGGGATAGGTTCGAGGTTTTCAAGCGTTCTCGTCGGATCTCGGCGGTTTTCTGGTGTTCGGGGTGCGTTCCAGCAACTGCGCCTCGTCGAGAGCGTTCCCAGGATGCCTAGACCGCCCCGATCGGCTGCCGGAGGCCCGAGTGATGGCCAGAAAACCACCTCGGACGGAGATGCCAAACCTTCAGAGGTCGTGCTTGGCAGAGGACAGAGGTACCGATACCGCTGCTCGTCGTGGAGAGCCCTCGCCGCCACGGCTGGATTCTCCTCGAAATTCTTGTCAGAACGCACCCCAGGAGAGCTCCGTGTCGGAGGCGGCCAAGGGGGGTCTGAACTGGTTGGGGCCCTAGAAAATCCGCTGACCCCAACTTGCCGGGGGTGAGAAGGCGTGTGAGACCACTCCCACATGCAAGGTCTATAATCTCGTTTCAGGGGGGGGGTCCAGGCTTCCCGGCGCACCAATGGATATCCTGGAGCGTCCACATCTGCCGTCTGTGGCGTCAAAGAAATTCCAAGATAGTCCCGAATCGCCGAACGATTAACCCAAGACGCCTACGACCTCAAGACACCTTCGAGACGCCCCAAGAGAGGCCCAAGAGCCTCCCCAAGAGGGCTCAGAGCGGCAACAATATATGATTTTCCTTTGGTTTTAAATTGTTTCTTGGGCCACCATTTCCTCGAGCTTCCAACGCTCCAAGACGCCTCACCCCGTGGACCGCCCCAAAACTGCCCGAGAGGCCCCTACGAGGGCCCCAGGAAGACCCAAGAGGGTTCCAAGACTGCCCAAAGAGAGGCCCAAGACAGCAAAAGATCGTTCCAACAAGGCCCTAGTAGGCTCCCCGAAGGCCCCAAGAAGCCCCAAATTGCCCACAAGAGGCCCCCAATCAGCCCTGGGAGGCCCAAAATAGGATTCAAAAACGGCTCCAAAGACGCTTCAGAACTGCCTCCAGGAGGCTCCACCAGGCCCCCAAACAGCTCCCAAGGCGCCCACGAGAGTCCCCAGATGGTGCCCAAGAAGCCCACGACGCCTCAACCGTGGCCTCCCCGCCTCTTCTGGGGATCGGCGGAATGGCGTAAGCCTTTGGAATCTGTCAGGAGGGGGGATGAAGCCAAATCTGTTCAAAATCGGTCCCGGGCCCGGACCTCTGCCGCGGTTCATCTGGAGCACTGTTTTACCCCGGATCCGTTTTTGACGGTCCCTGGTCCCGAAAACGGCCCCCAGGGGCAACAAAAGTGCAAAGCAAATCCTCGAACCCAGCACCGCGAACCTGCCCCCCCTCGTATCTTACTGGCCAGAACCACTGCTGGGCCACCCGATGCCCCAATCCAGCTCCAGGGTGGAGCAGCGGTGTCGTCATACGCGTGGCTTCCCTGGCCTCGTCTCTGGCCGCGGTCTGCGCGTACAGCTTGCGGAGCTGTCCCGCGGGGTCTGCCAGCTGGATCATGTGGCGAGGCACGGCCACCAGCCCGTAGCCCATCAGCACCGTCAGCAGCAGCAGTCCCCATGCGTTGGACGCGGCGATGCAGAAGCCCTCGAGGCTGCCCTGCACCTCCCCCGTCAGTATGAGCCAAACGAGCACCACGGCTCCGACGACCGTCTGGCACACGTAGTAGACGGCGTTCCGCCGCAGCGACGTGCGCAGCTTGGCGCGAACGGTGAAATCGCCCGACGCCTCGAACTCCATCAGCACGGGGCAGACTACGTAGCACAGCAACGTCGTCGCCCAATAGATGGCTGCCCAGCAGTGGCCGATCGACTCCTTGGCCGGCAGCTCGGAGGTGCTGCCAGTCCGCTGAGACTCCGCGATTGCCTGATGGGAAGCCTCGTGACAGGGGGACTGGCTCGGAGGGGGGAGCACCTCGGCCTGCAATCGACGATGCATCCCTGACAGATCGGCGATGGGCTCCCGACAGCAAGACCGAACGTCTCCCCGGCAGGGAGGACCAGGGCCCACTACGACCGCCTGCCAGCGGGCAGCGCTGCCCCCCCTCCGAGCCAGCCCGAGCCAGCCCCCCCACTCTCGGAGGGGGGGAGCATCTGAGGCAGAGGCGGCTCTCCCGCTCGGCCCACATCCGCTCGGACTCGGCCCCCGGAGCCCCTCCCCGGGGTCCCTCCCGGCCCGCTGTTCCACGGCGGATCCAGCCGTGGCGACGGGAGGCCTCCAGGAGGCCCGGGAGGACGAGCGCAGGGAAACCGTCAGGGAGTGGCCGCCGTGGTCCCGACTGGTTGGGCACCCCTGGCTGCGCCAGCGACGCCCAGACGTCGTAGGGGACCACCGCGATGACGCTGAGGCCCAGCGTGGCGCCGAGGACCGAGGCCAGGAAGGCGAGCCTGGGGGCAGCACCATCAGACTGAGAATCGGAGTGCGGAGAATGACAGCTGCACGAAGATGCCAGCGGGCCGGAGGCGTGCTGAGATCTCCGGAAACAGGTGTTCTAGAAGACTTCTGATTCGCGCGCGCGCGTGCAACCCCGGCGGGTCGCCGGACGAAAAGTACCCTGGCCGATCTCCGGCAAGCTCCAGCCAGGAAGGCGAGCCTGGACGAAGATCTCAACATCCAGACCACCCTCCCCTGGCGCGCAGGAGCGCGCCAGGGGCGGTGCCCACCGTCGGCTTCCGAAAGGTCCGCGCGGGCCTCCAGAGGTCCGCAGAAGATGGCGCGTGACATCCGCGGCCCCGCAGGCCCCGACCGCTTACCTGGGGGCCGCGTTTCGTCCCAGGCCCATCTCTGGGGCCCCCCGAGACGGGAAGCGGCCCCCGAGGGCCGAAAGCCAAAACAAAGCGAAGAACGCCAGAGTGGAAACAGCACATCGTCGGTGATCTGGGTTGTTGTGCCGATGCCGATGCCGCTGCTCCACGGACCTCTCCTGGGGTACGCTCTGACCCCCGCCCCCAAAAGAGAACCGAATCTAGCCGTGGCGACGAGGGCTCTCCAGGACGAGCATCGGTAACAAGACCTCTGAAATTTAGCTTCTCGGGATCCGTCTGCGGTGGTTGCCGGGCCATCGCTCGGGCCTCTGGAAGCCGTCCGGGACGATCCGCGACCTCCTCGGAACGCTCAGGCCGAGGCGCAGCTGCTGGAAAGAGCACGGAGGCCAGGCAACTGCCGAACATTTAACCATCGCAAACGCCCGAAAGCCTCGAACCTGCCTCCTCCCCTGAATTTGCCCCTTGGGTTTGTCGTTTCTGAGGGGCCGGTTCACGCCCCGCTCCGCGTATGTAGCGGTGCAGGCAACACCCAAATGTTTTTAGACCATGTTTACCGCTATACTCCACAGACCTCTCCAGGCCGTTCTGACGAGGATGTCGACGCGAATCCAGCCGTGGCCACGAGGGCTCTCCAGGACGAGCAGCGGTATCGTACCTTTTCCTCCTCTGAGATGGTTGTCTTCTCCGAGGGGCCAATTCACGCCCCGCTCCGCGTAACGGTGCCGAGAGCGCCCGGACATGCCAGCGAGGGGAGCCCGTCGACGTGCCTACTGATGAAGGAACACCAGGTCCCTGGACAAGAGCGAGGGAGTAACACGCCGATGGGTTCCCAACGGCGACGTGCCATTTTCTTGCGCCATCCCGAAGTGTTCCTCTTCTCCGCGGGGCCGGTTCACGCCCCGCTCCGCGTAGCGGCGCAGGCAACACCCGGACAGCAGCGCCACGGCGGCCAGGCCGCCAGCCAGGGCCTCGAGCTCGCTGCCTGCACGGCGCATTGCGCGAGGCGCGCGGCAGCTGCTGCAGTGGCGGGGGGGCGAGCCCCGAGCCCAGAGGCCCTGGGCCGAGTGGCTGCGGGGACAGCAAGCGACCACAGCCACACCGAGGACACACACTGGGGGATGCTGCGCATGCCCAGCTTGTTCTGAACACCGAAACCAGCTGCGTAGTGTTTGTGGTCGACGTGGCGTCCCAGGACGGCCAAATCGACCACAGCCAGAACCAAAGTACTCATGTCGAGGTTGGTGGGTTCTCCAGAGAGGGGCCCTCCCGAAAATCCACTTGGCTGCGGCTCTGGTTCTTTGTTGTGCCGAGGTTGGCATGGAGGGGGTGGCGAGGAGGGGGGACGCTGGGTGAGCCTTTCTGGGGGCATCTGTGGACCTCCTCGGCCCTATCATAAACGTGATTTCGACCGGCTTTCTTACCCCCTAAAAGTTCTTTCGTGGGGAGGAAAATCGGCGTTTCGGCCGTAGTTTCCCACGGTTGGTCGTTTGGTCCGTTTGGGGAGTTTCGTGGTTTCCTCATGGCCTGGTTGGCTCCAGTAGGAGCGGCGGCGTTGGCGCGTGTCGTCGGGGCTCTGTGGTTTGCCGCCCGGCGCGGGGGCGGGGTAGCAAGTTCCCGGCGTCCTCGTCGCCACGTTCGCCGTGGCTACGCAGGCGCGCTCCTGGCTGACTTGGTCTGTCCAGTGCGCGTGCCTCGTCGGTCCCTGCGGGGTGTGCCGCGGCTCGGCCGGGCTGGGGCTCTGGGCCCCGGCGGCTTTGATGCTGCCGCTTTTGGTCGCCCCTTCTGGTTGCCCCAGCAGTTGCCCCAGCGGTTGCCCCAGCAAGTTGGGCAACCCAGTGTCTTTGTGTGTTTTTGTCTCTTCGTTGTGTTCTTGGTAGGCAGGCTTCTGACGCTGCAGGCACCAATAGGACTCCAATGGAGACCCCTTCGTGGCCCAACAGGTATTTCTACCGACGAACAGCGCCCGCGGGGACCCGCGCCGGAGCGAGGGGTGGTGACGGCCTTGGGGCGCGCCTGTCAGTAGCCGCGGGGGCCCAAGCGTTTTGCTATGGCCTTGCAGTTCATCAATGCTTCCCGCCGCCGTTGCCGGGGCGACGAGGAACAACCTTGCGTGCAGGGCGTGGAGATCCCGTCGGACCTCAGCGAGTGGTTCCACAGCGTTCTGGCTGGGACACCACCGTCGTGCCACCCGCCGTCGGCCAACCTAGTGTTGCAAGCTTTGGCAGACAACGGCGCGGTTCACGGGAGCGACTTCCACGGCACGGCGCTGGACGAGTTGCGGGGAATATGGCCCCCGCTAGCTAGCTGGGCTATCCGACGAGTTTCTGCGGGCAATGGTGTGGCACGCGTCCAGGTGTCGTAGTTCAGCACTTGCACCTGCGCCTGCGCATACCCGTGCTGCCAGCGGCGCCAAACGGTGCAGGCTAGCGGAGGAGTGCAGCGTGCCGGCGCCGACGCTGGCACGGCGGTCCGCGGGGCCTACCGCTGGCGAAATTTCGGCAGCCGTTGAAGTATTGGCGCAGGCGCGTGCCCAGAGAATGGCGCCGCCAGCAGAGGCTCTTGCTCGGGCCATTTCTGTTGTATGCAGAGTGGATGGTCCTCTGTTGCCGCCCGTCGCTGCGGAGTTGGCTCTTCCATCAAGTCGTGCAACTTGGTTGGCGCAAGTCCCTGCGGAGACACGCGCGCCCATTCTACGGAACCAGTTGTTGCTTCAGGAATTGGAGAACTGGAGACAGAGTGGGGCGGGGTATGCGTCCGCCATCCGCTTGTGGGGCAAACTCGCGGCGGCGACGGAGGTGCCAGAGTGGCCGCCTGACCAGGTAGTGCTGGCAGCGCTGGCGTTCGCCGTGCCGCGCGCTTCCACGCTTTCCCGGTATTGCTCCCACCTGCGGTCTACGTTGCGGCTTCTACAGACGCCTCTGGGGGCTCTTGCTGACACGAGTGCCCTCGTCAGGGGCGCCATGAAAAGCCACGGTGCGGTGCCTCGTTTCAAGGCCAGCGCGTCGGCGAAGCAGGTGCAGGAGCTTGCTGAGTACGCTCGGGACGTGCTGCATGACGCGGAGCTGGCCGACAGCTGGGTGGTGGCCAGACATTTCACGCTGCGCTACGGGTGTGAAGTGTTGAAGCTCGGGACGTCTGTATTGCATTCTGAGATAGTGTGCCGTGCGCGCGGAGGCACGCCAGAGGTCACGATAATATTCCACAAGCGGAAAATGCAGGCCAGAGCAGTTCATGTGGTGAGGCAGTGCGTGTGCCGAGCGTGTGGTCCAGCATTGTGTGGGGTGTGCGTCCTGCGCAGACGCAGTGAGGGCAGGCCGTGCTTCCCAACGTTGCGTTACGAGAATGCCTTAGCAGCCCTCAAAACCTCAGCGTTGGCGCTCGGCTTCCCGCGCGGAGCAGAATGGGGAACCCACTGCTTCCGCCGAGGGTGGGCCAACGATGCTCTACGGCAGGGCGGTGTGCCCGCGTTGTTTCACTCAGGTGGCTGGCGCGGATTAGCCGCGTTTGGCTACGCATCAGCGCGGACGAAAGGGGAAGTCGTGGCTGCAAAGTGGGCCGCTGATTTTTCGGATTCGTCAGACAGCGGCGTCGTGGACTGTTGAAAGGAAAAAGAATGATTCTGCCGCGTCGAGGCCAGCGCTTTTCCAACGGGCGCGTGTGTGAAGGCTCGGGCCGCCGACATTGGGGCCTGGAGTGACGGGCGAGTCGAGCCTCAACAATGGGCAGCTTCGCTTGGGGGCTTGCTCGCCCGTCACGCCGGCAGCGTCTTCTCCGCTGTCCCAATGCAGGCGCGCCCACCCCAACGGAGGCAGTGAGAAGATTTTCTTACCCCCTAAAGGTTCTTTCGTGGGGAGGAAAATCGGCGTTTCGGCCGTAGTTTCCCACGGTTGGTCGTTTGGTCCGTTTGGGGAGTTTCATGGTTTCCTCATGGCCTGGTTGGCTCCAGTAGGAGCGGCGGCGTTGGCGCGTGTCGTCGGGGCTCTGTGGTTTGCCGCCCGGCGCGGGGGCGGGGTAGCAAGTTCCCGGCGTCCTCGTCGCCACGTTCGCCGTGGCTACGCAGGCGCGCTCCTGGCTGACTTGGTCTGTCCAGTGCGCGTGCCTCGTCGGTCCCTGCGGGGTGTGCCGCGGCTCGGCCGGGCTGGGGCTCTGGGCCCCGGCGGCTTTGATGCTGCCGCTTTTGCCCTCCCGCCCTCCCTGGTCTGGTGGGTGTGTTCGCTGCTGGCCGCACGGGCAGCGGTGTCTGGTTGGGGTGTGGGTTCGGCGTGTCGGGCAGCCTCGCTTGGGGGCTTGCTCGCCCGTCACGCCGGCAGCGTCTTCTCCGCTGTCCCAATGCAGGCGCGCCCACCCCAACGGAGGCAGTGAGAAGATTTTCCTCCCTATTTCGACCATCCACCTTCACCATGTCTTCAAAATGTCGTTCAAATGTCTTTCAAATTTCGTCCAAATGTCGACCTGATCCGACGAAATCCAAACGACCCCAAACTGCAAGAATTTGTGGGACCCTCTGAGGCTCCTTTGAAGGACCATTCAATGAAGGGTTGGAGGCAAATACCGGGAGGGCTTCGTGCGAACCATTTGACGGCTATCAGGTAAAGAAGGGCAATCTGACCTGGCTGGCGCAAATTTGCGGGAGCAAACCCGGATCTACCTCTAGGCGTGCGTGTGAACAGACCGTGCCTTTTCAATACCAGGCACATGATCACATGATGCTGAGTGGGGATACGACCGCAAATATGTTTGGTTAAAAGTGGGCGTAATGTATGTCAGAGCTGGCTTCGATTCGGTCTTGTCTTCCAAAACTGCTGGTGCCAAACTCGTCGTTACGTTCACCACCGAGGCATGGAGGAAGGAGCTTTCGTGTAAGGGATCGGGCAATAAGCGTCTCCGAGACAAAAGTGGCAAAGGGAACACCTCCAACCAAGGGGATTGGCAAAAGGGAAGCGTTCGCATTAACAGGCAGCCTGGCCAAACAACGGTGCCTATCATCGGGAACAGTGATTTTCGGCTTTCTGCAAGAATTCTCGCTTTACTGGCGATAACAAGATTTTGGCAGAGTGTGTAGAATTCGTTGCATGTGCTTTAGCGAAGAAAGGGCCACAGATGGAGACGTCCTGGTGCAAGTGGGGCACATCTTGTTCAGCTGCTTGTGAAGACAGAGATTTGTAGAAGTAGAGTTGCTCATCCATGCCCGCTGGGTCGACAACATTTTCGACCACAAGATTATTTCGGGCAGGATTCCATATTGCGACATGCGCGTAAGGACATCGACCTAGAAATTAATAGCCACGTACGTGCCACACGCCAGTTACTCGCACGACGGCTTCATATGATGCTTGAGCGATATTCGTTTTGCTGCTCCCGAAGCGCAGAGCCAAAACTACCAGTGTGCGCTGGGAGGTGAATGCGATACCGCGGTCGGAAGAGGTAGGAGAAGTGCCATATGTTTGGATTTCGCTGCCGAGTTAGATCTTGTGATTTGCAAAGGGGTCGAGAACGCGGTTGTAGAATGCCAATGGACTTTCCGCAGCTGCCTCGGGCGACTCCACCGACTAGATTACATCATGGTGAGCAGCTGAACGTCTTCCCGCAGCGCAAAGCCGAGAGACATGCTTGACCTCTGCTCAGGCCACAGAGCGGTCCAGGCGTGCCCTTAACCTCCGGCGGCTGCCGGGGCGAGGGCTCGACGGGGGCGCCGGCAGATTTTTGATCGCCCCCAAATCGCGAAGCGATTTGGGGGGCAGGAAAATCTCCAGGGAGGTTGCTCGTGGCCTCTCCGCCTCTTGGCCTCTCGGCCTCACTGCCTGGCAGTGCCCTTGTGGCACGGCGGATTGGGGGGGTCCCCTCTGTGTAAGCTGGGGCCGCGCGCGGCTGGCGGACCGCGGCGTGGGGATGCCATGTCGTCTCCTCTCCTCGCTTCTCCGGCTGGCTGGTTGGCGGTTGTGCGCGCGCGGGGGCGAAGGTTGTCGCGCTTCGCGGCGCGGCCTCGGGGGGCCGT